GTTTTGGAGACTAGCTACGTCACAGGATCCATCCGTAACTCACATCCGCTCCCCTCCTTGTGACAGAATGACCCAGACAAGGAGTACAACATGCCCAAGGATGGCACTGTGCACGAGCTGACCAGCAATGTAAGCAGGCCACCGGGAAGTGCCAGGGAAGACGCTAGAACAAGCGGGGATATCGTAATGACCTGCTGCGTCACACACCCTCTGGCGACTGCTTTCCTGTGCCGTGGTGTATTTGCTCCCCGCTTCCCTGATTCTCCTTGCATCCTTGCCGTGTCTTTGTGCCCCCACAGGCCATTCTGTTCCTGCAGCAGCTGCTGGATTTCCAAGAGACGGCAGGGGCCATGCTGGCTTCGCAAGGTGGGGCAGAAGGCGTGGGGGGGGGGGTGATTGTGGTGCATGGGTATCATTATGTAGAACCGTTCTGTCAATTACAGTGCAGCGTGAGGGTTTTACTGTATGTTTTGTCCTACGTCTTCGTTTTTAGCAAAGACTGAGGCTCCTCCCTTTCCTGTCATGTGACAGTGTACAGAGCACATGGGTCTCCAGCTTACAATGGAGTTCATCCACCACTTAATCGGTTTATTGACAAATTAATATAGAAGCTATTTTAACAAGCAGCCCTGCACTGTGACTCCAGGCTGGTGAAGAGTGGGATGCATATTAATCTTGTCCTGTGAGCTTGCTGCTGCCCCCCAGTGGTGGCAGACGTTTGGTACATACACTTGTTTGTGCTGAAACAGCAGGCCATGTCATTTCCATGGTGGGGACCTCAACCTCATTTCTTGGAGTCCCTTCATTTGAAATTGCTGTCCCATTTGCCCTACATCGCCCCCTGGTGGGATACATCTCCTGCATCTTTATTTCTTGTACCTTTGCCTCCTGTCGCTCGGCTCCCTGTGTACCTCCCTCACTTTCCCGGCATGTTGGCTTACCCGTTTCCTTGCCGTCTCTGCAGCTTCCTGGCCAGCAGGGGGAGCTGTCCTCTCCCTAGAGAGTGCCTACATTAGCAGGCATATCCACTGCTTCTCTGTACCTGAAGGTGATGATGTTATAGTAGATCTTACCAGACTCTGAGAGTGGTGGCAGGTGGACCACAACATCTAGCAGCAGACGTCAGCTGTCAGTTATATTGGGAAGGGTCACTGTGGAAGCTGAAATGAAGCTGAAATGAAGCTGAAATGAGCTGTTACCAAATTAATGAGCTGTTACCAAATTAATTCGGCAAATAATCAAAATCAGTGTTTATATTTGTAATATACAGGTGTGACTTTAGTCAAGATGGAAGCTCTAGTACTGATTGAGAAGTCCCAAATTGTGATGCTTTGTGAAACCTCTTTTTGAAGATGACTTTTTGATGTAGAACCCCTTGTACACTCTGGTGTAATGACTGTAACTCGCCTGAGAGCTTCACAGCGCCCCCTTCCTGTCGCACAGGTCTCAGTGTAAGCTTTATAAGATGCTGATGACCCCTGACTTCAGCAGCTGTTTTTGGTCATTCTGTCTCTGTGGATGTCGGATGGCGCCCCCTGCAGGTTCATCGTCCCCCCCATCAGGCCATGGCGGGTGGGGCTGCTTACTGTGTACTAACAAGACTTTTTAACCTGTTGCACTGTGCCTCTTTCTCCCTTCCCTCGTTCTCTCTTTCTCTCTCTCTTCTGTTTCCCTCCTATGCCTCTGCCTTGTAGTCCTTGGGGATACTTACAATATACCCTTAGACCCCCGAGGTAAGCAGAGAAGAGCGCCCCCTTTTGGGAATGGAGGGGTGTATATGTCAGACTGTTTTGAAATTTAGAATAGGAAAAAGAAAGGATGTAAAGAAATCGTTCAACCACCTTCCCCCCAGTATCCAAGGACTAGTTGAGCCACTATAATGGCAAATTGGTGAGTTAAGTCGCTGTCCTCGTTAGAATTTTTTCATCACTTTTATTTTAATTTGTGAAATTCTCAGGTACAGCTCACTTACTCTGCCATCGTTGCATGAACAGGTGCTCTGCTGCTGTTTATGACGATGGCAGTATGATGTTGATGATTTGTAAAGGCAGTTTACTCTGCTGTCTCGGTTGTTACCCTGCTATCTCAGTCATTACTCTGCTGTCTCAGTCGTTACTCTGCTTTCTCGGTCGTTTCTCTGCTGTCTCGGTCATTACTCTGCAATCTCAGTCGTTACTCTGCTGTCTCGGTCATTACTCTGCTGTCTCAGTCGTTACTCTGCTATCTTGGTTGTTTTCTTTTTCCTCCAAGTGTTTCTCCCTGTAGTTAATTCTTGCCAAACATTCAGGAGAGATCCATGTAAAAGGTATTCCATGTGTTGTTCAGAAAAGTGACATTAGTGTCTTTAGTGAGTCAGACAGAGCTGACGTCATTATTGGGGTGATTTAGCAGCAGTTTGTAGTTACTGTAGAAGCTGCTGTGATTTTTACTTTGTTTTTCTCACACTCCTTTTTCAGAGACGAGCTCCTCAGCCAGCAGCTACAGCTCCTTAGAGTTTAGCCGAAAACTTCTCAGCACCTACATCTGTAAGTCCCTCAGCTGCCAGGACTGAGATTGTATGCATGGAGAAGTGAATGGATCTTCTCATCCTTAAACCAAAAGGTTATAGGTTGAAGCCCTGGGAGAGTCTCATGTCATTGTGCTCTTGTGAAAGGCTCCCCCCTGTGGACTGTTCCTGAACTACTGCTGTGATTGCCTTTATGTATATATGTGCTTTGTGCAACCAAGGATTGCTCTGCTCGAAGGACTTTGTCAACACGACATTGATGGTAGCTATTCATAATATGAACTGATGTGTTTGACGAGGGGTCCATCAAAGTGTGGGTTTTGCAGGTCGCCCTTCCTACAGCGAATGGTTTGTGTTGAGAGTCACAATGGGGGATGCTTTTCTGTTCTCAGGCAAGGTGCTAGGGAACCTGCAGCTGAACCTTCTCAGCAAGTCTAAGGTGTATGAGGACTCTGCCCTAAGCGCCATTTTCCTGCACAACAACTATAACTACATCCTCAAGTCCCTGGAGAAGTAGGTGCCTCTGTTTACCCGTCTACTCGTCCATCCATCCGCGTGCCCGTCTATCGCACTGTTATACGTATTACAAACAGAGACTCAGCTGATGCTTAAAGGGACAGTTCACCCCAAAACTGAAAAACATATGTTTTAGGGGGGCTTTAGTGCTGTCTATCCATCTCGGTTGTTCTGCTGGCAGTTGCCTAATGTTGTAGATATCGGCCGTGGGAATGTCAGGCTTCTCTCGAATATAATGGGAGTGAATGGCATTCTTTCTGCGGTGATTAAAGGGCTGAAAAATACATCAGGAAAATTGAACAGCAGCGTCTCTTACTAGAAATCATGACCCTGTTACTCAAGACAATACTCAAGACTTTGAAGTGAGCAGTTTAATGTAGGAACTATTTTCTTCTACCGAACTCCACACACCGATACATGGATACATGGCACTAAAGTCCCTCTAAAACGTTCTTATTATTAATCTTATTTCAGTTTTGGGGTGACCTGCCCTGTTAAGATTACGTTGGCTAACTGCAGACATAACCACATGATGACCGCAGACGTACAGATCCATACACCATGACTACACTATGGCTACCTGCTGAAGTCCAGCATCTCCAGGATGGTCACGCTGAAAGCCCCACCCACTGACCGCTCACTGCACACGTAGCTGGCTGATACTGACCCACAGCCTCTTGTCGACTGGGTTTTTTCACATGTCAGAACCTGACCCAGCGCTAACCTTGCAGGTCAGAGCTGATCCAGCTGGTGGCCGTCACCCAGAAGAGGGCGGAGAGCTCCTACCGTGAGCTGATCAAGGAGCAGATTAAGATATACCAGCAAAGGTGAGCATTCCACCCAGTCTGTGAAGTGGGGGAACTGGCTGGAATGACCACCATCGTACCACCTGAATGTCTGAATGTGGATTGTGGAAGGTGTGAAACCTGCATTTATGATGTCAGGGTGAGGATCAGTGCTTATGGTCAGTCTT